ATATCTATGTTTTCATAACTACTCCAAATAGTAAAATACAGAGAAGAAAGTTTCATTTCAAAACTTCAAATAATGAGTTTCACTGCCAAAATAAAATTATAGACTATTCTAACTTGAGGACATTCGCAGAGAATAAGTCATTATTTTTAATGATGTAAATTAATTCTTATTAATGCAATGCAGTTTAATGTGCCTATAATTATAGAACAATATATATCATTATTTGGTGGGTTGGAAAGAGCATGTCACTAAGAGATGCACAATGGTTTATTGGGTTGTAGTTCTGACTCCAGTAATAATTAATCTTGGGATTCTGAGGATTCCATGTGGCATCTGGACTTCAGTTTGCTCATCTCTCAAGGGAGAGTGCTAAACCCCTACACAGCCTCAGTAGGTTACCCACAGCACCGAAGTGCAGAAATTTCCTGCATGGAACTATATCAGCTCCTTTCTTTTAGAATGGAACTTACTACAATTACAGTTCGTGAGTAGGAGGTAAGGAAATCAAGGGCTGAATATGAACCAATTTCTTGGAACAAGTTATCTCTTGGAAACAGTTATCACTTCTCAGAAGAATGGGACATGGCTTTTAAAGCATTTGTCTGAATTTGCTGAAACAAAAAACAGAAATGTATTTTTTTAAGCCGCACTGTTTTTGATACGTCTTAAATGATTATTCACTGTTCATTCTATTTTAGCAACTCTTAAGTAATGCTAAGGGCATTGTTCTGCTAAGAGCACCCACAAAAACAAAGTTTGTCTTCCATTTATGCGGATTTTGAAAGAGCACGTGGTCAACCCAGGATGATATTACAAATAAATAACAAACAGTGTGACGTAGGCACTGACCTATCAGAAAGGACCCCAGCTATAAACTACTGCTTTGCATGTACTGAGGGGCAGCAGCTGAACGTCACCACTGAATGTACATGAGAAACCAGAGTAATTGAAGCATAGCAGTTCCTCAAGGAATTAGAAATATAACTACCATGTGATCAGCAATCCCACTACTGGGTATATATCCAAAAGAAATAAAATCACTATTTCTAAGAAATATCTGCACCCCCATGTTTATATCAATGTATAAAGAAAATGTGATATGTATTACATGTAATATACACAGTGGGGAGATCATTCAGCCATGTGAAAGAAGGAAATCCTGCCATCTGAACCACATGGGTGGACCTTGAGGGCATTATGCTAAGTGAAATAAACCAGACCCAGAAAGACAAAAACGGTATGACTCACTTACATATGGAATCTGAAAAAAAGAATAAAAAATAAAAAAAACAAACTCATGGTTGCTAGGAGCTGGGAGTGGAGGAAATTGGGAGATATTGGTTAAAGGGTATAAACTTCCAGTTATAAGATGGATATATTCTGGGAATCTAATGTACAACATGATGATTATAGTGGATAATGCTGTATTGTATACTTGAAAGCTGCTAAGAGAGTAGATCTTAAATGTTCTCACGAAACACAAACACACACAATTGTAGTTATGTGGAGCTTATTGTGTTAATTAATCATGTCTATGGTTATATATAATTACATATATAATATTTATATACATATATAAAATAATCACAGTGTAGTCCTGGCTGGGTGGCTCTGTTGGAGTGTTGTCCCATACAGCAAAATGTTGCAGGTTCAATCCCCGGTCAGGGCACATACGTAGGTTGCAGGTTCCATCCCTGAGGCACATACGGGGGCAACGGATCAGTGCTTCTCTCACATAAATGTTTCTCTCTCTTTCCCCTCTACTTTTTTCTTCCCTCCCTCTCCAAAGCAGTAAACATATCCTTGGGTGAGAATTAAAAAGTTATCACAGTATACACCTTAAATTTATACAATGTTATATGTCAGTTATTTCTCAATAAAGCAAGGAGGGGAAGATAATCTGGCTGTTATGTAGAATGTAGACTCTAGGGCAAGAGGAGAAGCATGGAGTAGGTTAACAGGCAATCAGGAGAATTGCTGGTATCTTGGGTTAGGGAGGTTGTTGTAGAAGAAATGAGAAAGGATCACATTAAGGATGTGTTCCTTCCCATGACAAGATTCTCTTTTCAGGGCTAAAATTTGGAGGTTCTGTATTTTATCCATAGAAGGGATATTTTTCTCTTTTTAAGTTCATTTAAAATGTCATTATAAATAATGACAAATTTTGAAATAACATAAAAAATTTGGTTTCTTTTAAATGTCTAATATTCTTGTTGCTAAGAGAGAATAAATTTATGTTTTATCTGGATGTTAATGAAATTTTTTTACTATTTATTCCTATTAAAGTTTCTGCCTGGAATCCTATAGCCAAGACAATGAAGAAGCTAAAAGCTGTTTGTGTAACATTTATCTAGGTGCATGTGTATGAAAGGCCTTTTATATTTAAAACTCTTAATAATATTTTTATCATGTGTCTATGCAAGAAAATAAACTGAATTCACAGAATTTAGTCAGTATAGACATAAAACCTAAACAATTAAGAGTACTTCGAAAGGTATTATCATAGAATGTCCCACCAGTACTCTGCTTTATGTCTTTCCTGATTTTCTGTTAACTCCTCTTTTCGACACGTTTCACCCAAGCTACAATGATGTGAAACATGACCACACAGTTTGCACTCAGACATGAGGTCTGATGGTCCTAGCTTCACCAGAGATGGTTACATGATACAGGACACACCATTTATCTTCCTGAGAATTGGTTTTCTAATCATTAAAATGAAGAGATTGAACTAGAGAATTCTAAAATTCTTTCCAGTTCCAAGATTTTAAGTTTGTTCTTGTCTGATTTTTACACATGGTCATCGTAGTCCATTACTTGCTTTAATTGACATTTTAGTCATGATTATTCCTAAATCTATATCTCAAGTGCAAGTCTATCATGAAGTCCATTCTCATGTAGCAAATGACCTCCGAAACATCTCTGTCTGCATTTGCATAAGCACCTCAAGCACACTGTGTCCAACATGACTCATTAACTTTTCCCAGTAAATAGCTTTATTTTCTGTATATTTTCCTAACTATTGTCTAGATATCACTTTTTTTGGCTGAGTCTTGTATCCCACCTTTCTTGCAAGTAACCATCTACTTACTTATCTACTTACCTGAGTCTACAAGGCTCAGCTCAAGAGTCAGCTTCTAACATGAAATTTTTCCAAGTCCACTTCCTCTGTGAGTAGAATTTTCTATCTTTCATGGTATTCTGATTAGTCTGGCATCAGAGCACCCTCATGAGTACTGCAACTTTTTATTTATGTGTTTACATTTTTAAGTCCTTAAGGGTAAAGTTGGTCTCTTATTTCTTTGTGATTTTTATCCTCAGCTTAGAATGTATCACATAGAAGGTGATTAACAAATATTGAATCAATGAGTGAAAATGAAAATTCTATGATATGAGGATTGCTCATGTCTATCTTATTCAGCACACACCCTCATATGAACAGTCTCTTCTAGACATGGAGAAGTCATTGGCTCTCATACCCAGGTTCACCTGTTTACCTACTTAATAAGACTCATAAAAATTCTGACCTTCATTTGTTTACACACATCTGTCTGCTCTGGGAATCCAGTGTCCTTTTCATGTGCAATTTACCTCACAATGTGCAGAGACAACATCTTGCCTTTCTTTCCCATCTTCCAAGAGGTTGAGATTAGAATAACAATGTCTAGCAAGTTTGCAAAGGTGTTCATTCCTTCAGCCCCACATCTGACTCAGTTCTCTCTTGATAAACAAATAAAATTTTCTTCATCACCAACACTTATATATAAACCAGTGTCATCATGAGCAATTAACAAATGTACTTCAGCTCCTCAAAGGGTGAATGAAATTTAATCCTGATACTTAGCTCATTTGGTAAGTATACTTGGGTAAATAAGTTGACATATTTGTGTGGCTCGATTTTTCTCAGCAATGTCTTAAAATACCTCCTACTCCCTGGTTAGACCGGAGGAAATTATCGAAGGTAATTTATGTTATGTTAGCAGGATCAAGAAACCACGTAAAAATGGTAGAATCAGCTTGCCTTCCTGGCATGTTGTTTGATGTTATTTTTATTGTTTACATTATTACAGATGTCCCCACTTTTCTCCCTTTGCCCACCTCCACCCAGCCCATGCCCTCTCCTCTGGCCATCACCGCACTGTTGTCTGTGTCTACGAGTCATGCATATACACGCATGTTCTTTGCTTAATCCCTTCTCCCTCTTAACTTACTGGTGCTAGAGTAATCAACATGAAAGTCACGTGAAGTAGAGGGAGGTTTGCCTTTTAAGAGACGTTTCTTTCTCTAAGGTCTATTGCTATCACATATCCTTTATGGCATCTCTGAGATAAATAACTTTTTGTCCTTTTCCTTCCCTCCTCTAGTGGATAGTACTTTGTCACTCCCACAATTATTTTCTTCCCCCTCCATTCTTCCTGACATTTCTTGATAGAATCAGGAATAGCCCTTTGTCAGTTAATTTGTCTTTGTAAAGATCACTGATATTGTAGACTAGCCCCCAGGCAGGACTGAACATGATGCAGAACCTAGTTCAAATCAAATAAATATTAATACCAATAATAATTAATATTACTCTTTAAGTACTTTATTAAGTGCTAGTTATAATTAATGATTAATGGAGTCAATTCTCAAAACGACCTTATAATTTAACCACCAGATACCAGCCTTTTACAGCTGAGGAAGAGAGGATTGGAAAGATTAAGGAGTTTACCTGAGGTCACACAGCCAGTAGGTGGCTAAGTTAGAAACTGAACTCGCACATTTTCCATTTCATCAGTGTGTGCGAGTAAATGTAAATGCAGCTGTCAGTGTCTTGAATGAGAAAAGTTCTCAAGGAGAGGTGCATAAGACAAATGGGGACCTGTTCAACAGGGATGCAGCCCTTGTTCCTGTTGTCACTTAGTCGGAAGGAGATTTATGCAGCTGAGATGTTGAAACTGTGCATGTAATGACTTGAACGGAGGTATGATTGACTCACATGATGTTTTTTTGCCTTCTAGGAAGATTTCCAACCCGCAGCAGCCTCAGAGACCAACTGGGAGTCAGTCACAAGCTCTATCTCAGTAAGGAATTTAGTTTTCTATTGCCAGTGAAAAACTGATGAAGTAGCTAAGGTCACCCCAGAACAACATCAACCGCATCAAGACCGATGGCTTGACCAAAAGCCAGATCTCAAGCATGATGTGTTCTTCTCTTTCATTTGGATTACAGCGGGCTATGTCAGATGCCCTTTATCCCTCTTTCAGAAAGTTTTCAGGAAATGCCAGTACTCATTATGGGAACATGAAATAGACAATAGCTTAAGTATTTACCAGTTTCAAAGCAAAACATTTCAACTAAAGAACTGTGCAGGCACATCAAATGTATCAATTGGTCCATGGCCCAAGCTCAAGTGGGGAATTTTGAAATACTTTTTGACTATTCCAGGGGAAACTGTTAATCTTTGCATTTTCGAGGATCTTTTCAGACGTGAAAAATTCCAATGTTTACAGTAAGATAACTTAAGTGCAAACCAGGCATGTGTTCTATTTGACTTGGAAGTAAAACATAAACTCAATGCTGAAACTGTAAAATGGTTCAGGCCCCTATTTTTTTCACCAAATTTAGTAATTTCTCGGTATTCTGTCTACTTATCTACTTTCTCCAGAAAGAACTGTTTTCATCAATTCTATGGGTAGCACTTACAGAGCGATAAAATACAAGATAATAAGTACTGTTGTTCATTGAAAAGTCAAGGGCACGGAGAAAGCTTGTCCATGGTTCGAAGGTGTGGGTCAGTGTGGCTGAGTCAGTGGAGCTTATTTTCCTTTTTTAAAAATGATATGCTATCTTCTGCTCTCTGAAGGATTTTTTTTTTTAATTCCCTCAGATGGCAGGATTTCTTCAGCTATGGATTCTGTGAGGATTTAATTCATCTGGTATGGCTGTTGGACTAGAACAATCTGAGCCAAAGATCAGTGAGGTCTCTAATAGTGATACTAAGAGTGTTTTATTTTTTAGTTTTGACAGTCCAGAATGCATGCTCAGAACCCAGCTCAGTGTAAGCAATTGTTGTCAGACAGGTGAAGATGAAAATAAGACAGGGAAGCCTGTGGAGCCAGGAGGCTAAGCAGGAGGCCTAGACAGTTAGCAGCCTGAGACTGGCAACTCAAAGCAGATGCCAGAGGCAGCTTTTGTAACGAGGACCTAGTATGCTATTCTGTCAAGAGATCGTCCACCTTTTCAAACTTCTTAGACATGTTAGCTCAGGATTGTCTACACATTCCTGCCCTAAATGCAGAAATTATAAACTTAAAGGGCCCCTTAGATAATTCAGGATAATCCTAGAAAAGAAAGGGATTATTCCATCCCTTTGGAATATCTGTGGAACCTCAGCCCTGGATTTATATCCAGGGGGAACTCTCGTGGGTTGAGCTCCAAATCCAGATTCTGATTAGTCCTCTAGGAGGACCAAGGAGGCATAAATTCTTTCATCAGCATTCTGTTTTTCAAGGACCTTCTAGAGTAGGAGCAAAAACCTTTGGACATATTATTAACTTCTGTACAAACCATACTTTTTTGTTGTCAGTGGTCTACAGTCCTTGGAGCATTTTTTTTTCAAATTGTCATTTTAAGGTAATTCAGTTAGCTTTAGAATTTATGGTTATAAACATTTAACAAAAGCTGAATGAGATTAAATTTACAATGCCATTGACAGAGGCACACCCAAATAATTATTTCTCTCAAAAATAGTTTTTAAATAATTACCTCAGGAACACAAATGTTCTCAAGGGTTTACTAGGTCTCTAGTTACTCATAAATATTTTCTTAACCATCATCAGTGTTCTTGTCAACTGTCCTGAGTCCAACTTGACAATAGCAGTAAAGCTCACATATAGAGACAATTTTATATCTTACCTGTGGTTTGGGTTTGCTCTTCAGACTAACATTAAAAACAATCAAATTTCCCTCTCCTCTCAGAGACTGAGATCCCCTCTTCAGCTCTTTCTTGAAGAGTTACCTGGGTACGCATTGCATTCCAGGCACAGTTAGGAGCAACCCAGCAAACACCTTGCCCACAGTTCCCCAAAGCCATTATAAGAAACTTCTGCTTGTGTGGAAATGGTTTGATTGATATCTCTGCTTTTATTTTTAAAACTGAGGGAAGCATTTTAATTTTAAAGCTTATATGCTGCCCATGATCCTAACTTTTGCCAGTTTGTTTTGATTTTTTTTTTTTAATTTTAGACCCACATTGTTTTGATACAAGGCTGATTGTAAATCATCTGGTGAATAAGAGCCAGGTAGTCAGTAGATTCTCCGGACAATACAATTTGAATGGCAATTTGGAATTTTGGTACTGAACCTAAGTATTATCCACCTCTAGCATTTGATGCCAAGAGGAATGTCAAAGACAGAAATGAGGTACTTCAGTCAGGGTTCAGCTTTTATCAGACACACACACACACCCCTAGTGTAACAAGCTAGCCTGACACCCTTCCCCATCCCTCTCATGTCTCCCGCTCTGCTCCCTAAGCCCACTTTTCCCCCACTCACTTTCCCCTATAGGACATGTTTGAAAAGTGCTCCTGAATGACTGCAGTGTTGGGGTAATGCTTATACACATTTAGTTTTGCTAAAGAGGGAATATTCTGTCAGAGCCAGTGATCATTGAATTGCTTGCAGGCGTTTGGACCTTGACTCATTAAAAAGAGAAAACATTACCTGAGAGTGAGAATATAAATGTGGGCTTTGCTGTCTGTGACTCTATAGCGCATATTAGTTCTCAATAGAATACTGCAGTTAAGTTTCAGGAACACAAGTTTTCATTAATTTCCATGTTGCTGTAGTGATAGGAGATATTTGCCTGTGGGGAATTTTATTTGTTTGGCAGTTTCTTTAAAGATATTTAGAAATCATTTGAGACTGTGTGCTCTCTATTTCCTTGTTAATGGGTCATGAATTTTTATAGAGATGTTTGAATCATGGCTCATTTATCTCTAGATTGTACAAGGGTTAGTGAAGTAAGTGCTTGGAAACTATGTGGGGATATCTTCCAGGGTAAAATACATAATCCCTTCCAGACTTTCAATGACGTTGTCTTCTCCACTTAAAAACTATTCCTGACAATGTTTTAATAGCAACTAGGATCTGTAGCAAGCTACAACACTTAAAAAGATACATATGCTTCCCATGTGAATCTTCCACTTTTAAGTCAGCAGAACCAGTTTTGTGAATAATTTTCCCCATTGAGGTTAAATAAGTGGGTTAAATGACAAATTTTATCAAGGTGTCTCCAGAATAGATTCAAACCCTGCTCACACAACTTGCAATACTAGGTGACCTATAAAGAGGCTAAACGTGGTAGAGTGGAACAGATTACACAAATCTTGCATGGAGGGAGTTCAGAATTTAATTTCTCACCATCAGTTGTTGATATGGATGTCAACATTGAACCAAGAAATTGGATAACTTAATTTTAATATTTCCATCTAGCCTAAGTCTTTTTAATTATTATTATTCAGATGAAGTGAAAGTAAAGATCTGCTTGAGTTGAATTGGAAAAAAAAAAAAAGCAAATGACTATCATTTATCAACTAATTGTTCTTATTTAGAAATAGTACTATAGCATGATATTTACGCACATGATGTCTTAGCATCACAATCTCGTTTATGTTTCTTCCATATAGTTGTATGACTATTGTATTTCATAGCAATGGGCTTTTTCTGAGTACACTGAGCTGTATGTCACTCTTAGGGAGTATCCTATAACTCTGCATCTGTCACGGACCCTACTCTCACTGCGGATGCTCTGGACAGAACAATTGCACAATTTGATACTGTGGAAGATCTGCTCAAGCACTTCAGTCCTGAATCATGGCAAGAAGATCTTGAGAATCTGTATTTGGACACCCCTCATTATCGAGGCAGATCATACCATGACAGGAAGTCAAAAGGTAAGAAACAGAGCATTGGGGGTTCTTCATAAACAGATAAGAGTATTAACAGTAATAGTGATTAAGGTTTAACAATGCAATGTATTTAATTCACTTAAATCAGATGATTATTGTCTTTTTCACAGCACCTTGATATGAAGTTCTATGTTTTTCCCAAACTGTGTTGCTTGTATGGGACTAAGAGAGGTTTGATTCAGTCAGAGATCTGCCATAGTTTGGAGCTAGAAAAGATCTTATAAAATTGTTTGAATGAGTTTTGTGCTTCTAGGCAAGTAAGGCCTTATTAGCCCCACTGTAAACAGTGGAAGTAGCAAAGCCAAGGGAAGTAAATAATTTGCCAAAGGCTGTGTGGCTAGTTAGTGATGGAGAGGAAATGAGAATTATGATCTCTTGCATCAAATGGCAGAGCCTGTGTAATAGTCTACTGTGCCTCTCTAAGGAGTATTAATTTAGCCCAAGACTCAATGTGCATGGAGAGGCTCCTGGTAAAGCAATGGTCAAAATACTCTTCATAGATGTCAGTTCTACTCATTCAATGTCAATTCTATATATTTTTAATGAAGGCCTACTATGTGCTTAGTGTCCTAGGTGGTTCATGGAATATAAACACCTCAAGGAAGAGGCAAAGTCTAGGATAGTTTGGAGATGTATGATGGCACATGTTCAATTGGAAGATTCAAGAAAGTATAATGAGGGGAGAAGAGGGGAACACTCCGGCATAGAAAACATAAGTTAGAACAATAATACTGGAACTCAAAGAATAAATATCTCAATCCTCTATCTGAGTGGTATGATCTTAGGACGAGAATGTTCATTTGCATGTTTAACTCAAATTAATAGAGAAATAACTTATAATTTCCTCTTACTGAATAAAACTATAATTTATAGTCTGTTATATCCTTTATTTATTTGATAAGGTTAGTTATCATTAAAATTTTCTCTAAAAGTCTTATGAGGCTGGCTTACGTCATAGATGTGAAGGCATTTAGCTAAAAGTATAGCTTGTTTCCTATACTTTGTAATATCAGGGGTGCATTTGAGAACTGTGAACCCAGGCTGCTTTGAAAGATAACGTTCCTGTTGGTAAGCACAACCTAATAGAACCTTTGGACCGAAATGAGTAGTTAACTCCTGCCTTAATCTGTTGCTTATGGTTAAGGTGATGATCTTACACACGTAAAATGCAGACCGTAGAAGGTATGGGAGGGTCACTAATGGACCCTAATGTTATGGAGATATTTCACAGGTACAGCACTCTACCCTCAAACTGAATCTGCCCAGGCCTCAGATTATATTCAGTTCAAAGGAGAAATTGCTTTTCTGTAAGGCATTGCTGTCTCTGGATTGCTATTAGATCAACTTAAAAAAAAATAAAATATTCACAATGTTTTGTAAACCCAAGAAATACCACTTAAAAGGGTATTGGACAAAGAAATAATAAAATATGACTCTTCCATCTTAATCACTACAGCTATTCAAGGGGAGCCTTTCTTGGAACCTATTTTGGGGGAAATATTAAAATTTAAAAGTCACTAAATTCATTACATTTTCCCCAGAAATTATATTGTTTGAGGCAAGGGGTCTGGGTTGAAAACCTAACCCTGCCACATGCAAGTTTTGTGCTGTTTCAGCAAGTCATTGCACCTTTCCAAGCCTCAGTTTTCTCACCGGCAACATGTGTATGATGACACCTACTTCCAGCAATTATGAGTGATGCCGCTGAGAGCCTGGTACATAGTACTCATTTAAGAAATGTTAGCGAACTACAGCTGCTTAGAATTCTGAAACACGTTTGCATCACTGCCTTGGTGAAGCCTTTCTTGTCCCTTGTTCTTTCCTTGTGAATTCAACCACCTCCAACAAAGTTCAGAGTCCTTGGGAAACCACAGCATTTATATGTCCTTTTACTGTATTACTGTATCTTAAAGGGGATATGAGCTCCTACAACTTAAGGATATCAAGTCTGGCTTAATATTAAATTACTTGAGGAACTTATAAAAACTATAAATGCCTAGTCCCATCTCAGACACATTGACTCAGAATCCCTAAGGGTGGGACTGGGTGGAGTATTGATCATTAGACACAGCTAAGGTTGAGAGCCACTGTTTCAAAGACTGTTCATCCTATAGCTCCAGCACTTGACATAGTCTCTGACACATTTCAGATGCTCAATTGATAGTTGTAGAACTGATGATATTAATAATCCAGCATTAGTATATTTCTAAAGTTTACAGAAACCCACCCCATAGACTAATGGTTATAGTTTAATTAAGAATCCCCTTGGAAAAAGGACCCATGGACATGGACAACAGTGTGGTGATTGCTGGGGGGGGGGGGTTATAAGGGGACTAAATAGTAATGGAAAAATATATATAATAAAGATTAAATTTTTAAAAATAAAGAATAAATTTTTAAAAATACCTTTGTTTGCTGAAATAACCTTGAAAGAGTATTCAAGGTGACATTCTACAATTTTCTGAAAGAGTAAACATTTCTCTCCCCTGTTGGCTGAGATTCCATTTCTTAATCTCTTGTTTAAAATAGTCCTGAGGCAGATCTGCACCGTTTCATTGAACATTGGCAAGTCACCACAGTCTCTGCACTTGTATAAATGTGCTGATTTAATTGTTTATCATTCCACTGACGCTGAACCACCTGCATGTATCACGAAAGCAAAGGAAGTCAGGTTTAATATTTCAGCGGCTATTTTCAGCTTTTAGAAATTACAAATTCATGGTTTGTATCCTGATGTGTAAGAAAGGGGACAGTGAATAAAGAGTGAAAATAGAAAAATTGTTATAGATAATGGAAGCCCGTTATCCATTGGGCATCATATAAAATGTGAACTTTATAGGGTCCATAAAAATGTTTCCTATTTTCAGAATAATAATTTTAATGATGGTTTGCAGAAGCAAACATCATTTATGAATGTCTATTGAACATTTTTCTAATTTGTCTACACTGATCAAAAGTGACATTTTTCTTGATGCCAAAGAGCAATTCTAAGATGACCCTTCATTATCACAGACTCAAACACAGAGCTTTATAAACTCTAACATAAAACACAAACATTGGGTGAAGAACTTATGAGTGAGGTAGAAACAGTTAATATTTAAAATTAAGTTTTATGCTCTGCTTCTATTGTTTATTTGAAGGGACATAGGTGATCATGAATATTTAGTTCCCTTTAAGAAAAGAGTTGAAAATGGGAACAAAAGGACAGTAAGAATTTGGGGATAAGAGGGAGAGAAAAGAGACAGATAACATTATCAAGTATTGAAACCAGAAATTCAGGCCAGGACTAATGTTTTAAAATTCACAAGTAATAGATAAACTCTAACTTGTCTGTAAGAATTTCTGGACTGATGATAATATAGCAAGTTAATATATTCACTTTCAGTTTTCTCAAAGGGAATGGAGAAAAAAGAAGCATGGATAATTGAAATCTGTAGATAACTGTAATTCTAAAATGCATTTTTTACCAATAATTTCTGCCTCATGTTTTCAAGCCCTAACTCCTCAAAGTTTTGTTTGTTTTTTTTAATGTATGACGTTCAGGTTTCCTTTATTTATTTTGACAATGATACCACATGCTAATATTACCACAGAATTTTACATAATTAGGTAAAAAAATCATAGGGATGTTCTCAAGCTATATGATTACCCTCTGAATCATTGTGTGACCACTAAATTCAACCGAAACTGTTCTGTGATTGCTTTAAAACATATGCCTTTAAAAGTTAAGGGCAGTGTTTATATAGTCACGATCATAGCATGAAATTTCACATCCCTAAATTAAATGATTGGTCTTATGCTCTACTATATTGGGCATTACTTGATAGCAATTTGTAGAGATTAACAATGGAAGATCTGTTCTTTTTTCTTTTTCCAGGAGAACTTGACTTTCCAGAACGATAGTGTGTTTAGCATAGAAAAATCTAACACATATAATAATAGTAAGGGGGGAGAGTGTTTTCACAGTTTAAGTGTTGTGATACAATTATGGAGATAAATATTGAGGCTGCCAATATTAACAGTTTTGAACTATAATTATGCTTAAAAAAGAGTTGCCTTTGATGCGCATGCCAAAATTGACATACACTCTTCTGTTTAAAAAATTAGTATCTTAATATATTGAGTAGAACAAATATATTGATATTAAATTGGTTCCAAATGATGGAGTTTGAAATACATAATTTTTACAGATTCTAAATGGTTAGATGCTGTAATTCTGACACACTTATCAACCCATTTGTGAGGATCTAATACCAATTATATGATTTCTCTCTGAGATATAAAGCACTTGAGTTTAAATTTGCAAATTATTTACAGGTAAATAACTGGCATAAAAAAACTGATGACTAAATGAAAATAATATGTTGTATAACAAGCTGCTAGAAATGGCTCTGAGTTCCTTTGTTTAAAATACCATTTTTTTAAAATTAGTCATTTATGGCTATTTCTTTGTCATGCCCCTACATGCTAACCACAAAGATAAAAGTTTTCTATAGTGATTTAGAATGTGGTAAGTAATTTTGGAGTGTATGCACATATTTGAGAAACAAGTTGAAGTCACCACAAGCTGAATGCTTATAACTTCACCTGCCTATTTGAGATCTGGGTAAGAATTTGCAAAGAGCCCTTGACTCGCACTAGTGATAGATCCGATAAGTCAGTCTTGAGATAGCACCCTTCTGTAACTATCTGTAAATTAAACAGACAGAGGTACTGGGCACATTAAATCAAAATAGATTTATTTTTCTAATTTCTCTTGTTGAATGAGAGTTGGCTTCATTGAGTTTCCTGAACCATGTGGTCTGCACCCAGTAAAAGCTTTCTTTATCAATATTAAAATTGTTTACCATAAACTTGTTAGAAATAGAGTAAGAGAAAGAATGCTGTAGTGGGTACAGCATGGGCTCTGTATTTGTGTAAACTTGGGATAATATTCTAACTCAAATCCTAAGACTAGTGGCTTTCAAGAAGTCACTTATAGATCC